TTCATTTTTATTTACTAGAGAGGAAAACAAAATGAAAGAAAGAACATTTTGTTTAAAATGAAAAGAAAAAATGTGTGTTTCCTTTTATAATAATCGACTCTGCCCGAATTTGACATGAATTACACAAGCGAGTGCTTGCCTCTTCACCATTATTCATTTGAGCCGCGCAACGCCGGGCTATTGCTTCGACTAATATATATGCTCCATAACATATATACTTATATATATAGGCATAATATTTAAATTCCTAATGAAATACGCATTAGTACTTCGACAAGTGTTGTAAAACGAATAAGAGGCAGTTAAAAGTGTTGAAAAGACCGCAAGAATAGTGTTTGCTCAGATTTACAGCACTGCACAGCACGCGATAATCATGTCTTTCAATCGACTTTTCGAATTGAACAAATCTTAAGCCTTAAGCATAAAGAGCTTGGCTCTCAACCTTTCTAACTAAGAATCTAAACATGCTTGGTAGATGCCAATTTTGTTTCAATCAAATGCAAATGTCATCGACATGGTTTTGGCTATGTTTAAAGCAGAAATAATCAAAAATCTCTGACAGCAGGGTTACTGTGTGTTAATAACATACGTGACATTCTCTGGATCCACATATATATATATATATATGTGTATATATATTTGAAAATGATTTGAACATCTGTTGCTGGACGAGCACAAAATCCAAAATTTAGAGTCATGTGAGAGGCGCGACGCATCAAATTGTCAACTGGTCACGAACCGCAGGCATATCCTCAAAATGTGCACGTTTAGTGCTGCGGGGTGGGTGTCGGGGGGGGGGGGGGGGGGGGTGTAGGGGGTGCGGGGCAGTGCCATAGCCATAGACAGCACGTGGCGATGTTATATGTGAGCTGGCTTTGTGACGTGACTTAAAATATAAAGAAAAGCTGAAAAAAAATGAACAAGCGGGAAGATCTGCGGCACACCGAATACTTAATACCCTGCCAGACATTCGCCTGCGAGAATCGTAAAGAGTTCAATGAAAATATCTACGAGCGACTCTTGATATAGAGTAACATAATAGATAGATTTGATGCGAATGCGAATGCACGGAATCGTTGCAAAAGAGTTTTCCAAGAACTCACTTTTCGACGTTTCGATGCCAGCTATATAATAAAGTGCTCCGATCGGATGAGACTTAAGAACGGAAAGACGTATCTATGCCAGACTGAAAGACTAGTTCGCATAGAAAGAGTGAGAGAGAGAGAGAGAGAAAGAGAGAGAGAGAGAGGGGAGACAGACAGTCGGGCCTGGCTATAACGACTCGGCTCGGAGCTCGGAGATGTCACCTTCTATGCGTTATATGTTATTTCATTTGATGACAATATTGATATGCCCTCGATAAGGGCAGAAAACAGGAAAAGCGAAACTGAAACCGGAAACGGATATGGATTTGACTTTGACTACTTCAGCGTGAATGTTGATTTAGATGATGCAGCAGCAGCAGCAGCAGCAGCCAGATGAGTTTTTGATGCCTTTCAGCGCTGCGTTTTACGAGCTGACAAACTGGCGACGACAACAACAACAACAACAGCAACAACAACAAGAACGACAACAAAACTGACAACAACAACAAGAGCAGACGGCATAAAGCCAAAAATTTGGCCACGCATAATTTAACAATATGACACAGGAAAAGCTGCAGATAGTTGCTGTAGACATGCTACGGTTGGGGGCAGGGGGACGTCCGGGTTGCGGTGGTGGGCGGTGTTTGGCACTAGGCATTGCGGCGCGTAGGCGTGGCATCTGTCAAGCTGGGCCGCCCGCTTCTGTTTGTGTTTACATTTCATCTTAAGCTGGCTGCCAATGCCGCATATCAGTCACATTGGATGCCACTTTTACAGCCGCCACAAGTGGCTCACGGGCGGTGGGTGGAGCGGGCGGGGGGGGGGGGGGGGGGGGGGGGGGGGGGGGGGAGGGGGCGGGTACAATTGTCGAGTGGATATCACATGAGTGTGGGCGGGGCGGGCTGGAGTTGTCGTCGTGCAAATAAGCTTAAGCCGTGAAGCTCGTCAACAGACTTTGCCTGGCAATGTCTACGCATTTGCTTGGCCCCACAGCACACACACACACACACACACACACGCACACACACACACACACACACACACGCACACTCACATGCCTGGCCCAGAAGCTTAGGCTTTTGCCTCATCCCGCTGCCAGCTCGCCTCCATCTGTGACTTTGTCGCTGGCGTATTTGCATTTTGTATCACTTAAGCAGCAACTTCTTATGCCCTGCACGCAGGCTGCCAAACGGGTATATTGGTTTTGTGTGTGGCCGTCTGTGCATCGATTACACACACACACACACACACACACACACACAGCTGAAGTAAAGATTCAAGGGAAACTTGTAGAAGGCAATCATTATTAGTAACAGTTTTAAATTTACAGTTTGAAAGTCACAGCGCTTTCGAATTACAGTTTTAGAGCCCTCCTTAAGCTTCGACAAATGCCTACACACGCTCACACATAACAAGAATTCCTATTTTGAAGAGAAAAATGCACATTCACAGTTTAAAAGTCATTGCTAAAGTCACAGTTTGAAAGTCACTTTGCTGTGTGATTACAGTTTTCGAGGCAGCAGCAGGGCGTGAGCACATGAAAAGGCGTGTCCAAATGGATGCATCAGTAAATCACAGTTTGAAAGCCATTTGCCTTTGTCAGTTACAGTTTTAGAGTCTGGAGTGTGAACAGCGTATTGCGCAGTCGATTGCAGCCAATTGCAATTGCAATTGTCCTCAGTTTTTGTAGATGCCACTGGCCGTCGGAGACGTCACACACACACACACACACACACGCACACAAAAACCCACACACCCACACACACCCACACACACGCACACACACATGTGTAGATCTTTGTGCTTTGTTTGCAACTCAAATGTTAAGTAGAGGTATTTTTTGTGAGCTCAAGTGCGTAGCTATCTGCCAGCACACGTACCCCCTCCCCACACCCACCCCCCTCCAAGAAACCACCCTCTGATCCGCCGCCCTCCTCATTTGACAATCAAATTTGGTTTGGCTACAATTTGCTTGGCGCCGGACGCGCCCCTCGTTATCCGCAGCCAACAGTGTGTTAAGTATAGTCTGTCACACGCACACACACACTCCCACACACACACACACTTTCCCACACACACACACACAAGCGCGCGTGGTGCTCATGTATTTTGCGCTCTATTTGACTTTTGGCTTTCCGTTTTGAGCCCACATTGAGCTTGGGCTGCTTCTCGTCTGTATTTTCCACCCAACTACCTCGCACCCACCCTGCTCTCCTACCCCATACCCCCCCCCCCCCTCGTTCAAAACACTCCTCAAATTAGTGCCCACTCCAAGGCGCATCACACTCCATCAGATATCTGAGCCATATTCGAGCGGAATACCATTCCAGCATCGAGTTCAACTCTAGATATATTTAAATCCCCGCCTGCTTTTAATTTATGCGAGTTTTTAACTTTTATTTAAATCCGCAAAAAATCGAAATGTTTTCTCAAAATCTTGAAATCCTTAAATAAATAATCCTTAAATAAAGTGCGTTCTGAATTTCCGAACTGTTAAACATTAACTGTAAAATTCCAATTAGAAAAGGCAATAATCCTTCCACGCCCACAATAAAAATGCAGCCAAGCCAAAGGCAAACGAACAGATACAAATGGAAGGAAGGAGAGGGGGGAAGGGGGGGAGCAGGCCCCCGGACTGGCAGCTGTATATAAAACGCTGGCAATAATCACTCAAAGTGCAAGTCCTTAATTTTCATTATTTTTTCTGTGAATTATTTGTCAAATTTCGTTGCGCGCTCTCTCTCTCTCTCTCTCTTTCGCTCATTCCCCTTGCTACTCTGTCTGACCTATTGAACAACTGGAGAGAAAGAAGCCAAGATTTCTTAAACTGGCAAAAAAGAGCCTTTCATTATGTCTAAAAACCAAAATGCAAAAGCATTAGTTAGATCTCTTAAAAGTTGCCCTTTAAAACTATTCGCTTTCTCTTTAAACATAAGTGTAGGTTATTTATATTTGGTTACTCTCCTTAAGTCATAATTTAAGAGTCTCTCTTCACTTACGTGCATTCCATTGCGTTGATCTGCTGCTGACAAAAATACACTACACATTGCACAGTAAAAAAAATTAGAAAAAAAAGAGCGCACTAGAAACTTTTTGGCGACACGCACTCGCTCTCCCTCTCTTTCAAATTTTGGCTCTCAGCGGCAATATGGCGTGCCTGGCAGCAGCATATGCAAAGCCGCTGTCGGACAAGGCAAGAAACACAAAATAACGGAGTTAAGGAAAGAACAAAAAAACGGGACTATTATTTGACAATGCGCTTGCATTCTTGTGCCGAGAAAATAAAACCAAACTAGCATATACATACATATATATATGTATGTAACTGACGGCGACTTGCACGACGCTCACATTATATATTATAAAACATTTGTTGTTACACCTTTAGCACTAGCACTACACATAATAAAAAAAGAATAAAAAACAGAAAAACGGCCGGTTCGCTTGTATTTGGCGTCAATTATGGCACGATAAAGGCAGATGCAGCCGCTTCGGCGCGGCGACGATTTCCAACTGACTTTTTGAGCTGCGTCGACGGCGATCGCCGCTGCCGAATTCGACATTCGAACTCGAATTTTCGAGCTGACGAGAGAGAGAGAGAGAGCACATGCGAAATTCAACGAAATGCAATTGAACTGGACTCAGCCTGCGTCAAGGCAAATGAGGTGAAATGATAGGGAGGGGGGGTGAGTTAGTAAACTAGACGAATATATATATACTCTATGGGATCGGAGATGGATAAAGTTGGCATGCGAACATTTCTTATTATTCAAATAAAATACATTTAAAAATATCTTTTGGATAAATTTTAAGTCAAATTTCGAAACTGAAAAACCTCAACTTGCAAAATTTTCAAATTCCAATCGGAAAATCCTGCCACGCCCACAACTTAATGCCAAACTCCAGGAAAGCTCGCTAATCCTTGCGCAAGGGCAACGTTTCCGTCTCGATGCCGTCCTTGGTGATGAGCTTGAGGACGCCCGTGTCGCCGGTGAAGAGATCCCGGTCGGAGGCGACGCGCAGACAGTTGCGAGCCAGTGCCAGGGCACGCTCCTTGTCGAGAGGGGGATACTGGTCGGGCGGCACGAGGGTGTGGTGCTCCCAGCCGAGGCCGTGGTCCAAGGCGGGCAGCAGCATTTTGCCGGAGCTGCCGAGCACACGGTAGCGACAGCGCTCCATGTGGCCCACCGGATCGTAGTAGTAGACGGCGCCCTTGCCCGCCTGGTCAATGCCGGCCAGGATGGTGCAGGTGTGGTAGGGGAAGAAGCGCCGGTTGTACATCACAATGGAGATCATCTGGGCCAGGGCATCGGTCGAAATGGGCTTGTTGTGCTCCTGCTCGTACATCTGGATGCGGATCTGCAGCAGGCTGGTCATCGAGATGGTGTCGCACCACAGTCCCGTGGATGCCACCATCGCCAGCGGGGTCATCGGGAACACTTTCGACTGGTCGCGCGTCTCGATGCTCAGCCCACTGCAAATCCGTGTATCCGAGGCGACCACCACGAACTCCTCCCCTGCGATGGCCAGCACGGTTCCCCCGTTCGTATCGTAGTCGCTTTCCGAGCAGGAGGAGGAGCCCGAGCCACAGTTGCTGCTGCTGCTGCTGCTACCCTTCCTCCTTCTCTTCTTCTTCTTCCTCAGAAGATTCTCAGGATTATGCAAGAGTATGTTATTTATATTGTTCAGATCCATTCGACGATTTACTAAATTTCATTTGTTGACTCGGAACTGAAATGAATTTCCAGTTCCAAAAGTCCCAATTAGAGATCGCAACGCCTGCTAGCTTAGAACTGGCATCCGTGCGGTTCACGGTTCAAACCAACTCTGTCACGTTAAGCCGGGGTTTGGCAATATTCCACCCGCATGCGTGGAAAAAGCGCGAGAAACGTTTACAACTTTACTAAATTTCTTTTGTTCACTCGGAACTGAAATGAATTTCCAGGAGAAGACATAAATAACAAGCCGGTTCACACTTGAAAGCCACCTGTTGACCATGAAAAATACTTTGTGCAAATATTATTTAGATTACTCTTAATTCGAGGAAAACCCTCAGTCCGAAAGCAAAATTCATCTGCAGCCACAAGATTTTCCTAGTTTTGATTAAATTTACCGAAAATATAATATTTTTAGCAGTACAAAAATGTGATAAAGATATTTAATTCCAAATTTCGCGGAAAAACCAAATTTGCTTTCTGCTAAATTTTAAATTTAATTCAATTATTAAAAACTTTAGAAGCCTTAATATATACTACAAGAATGCTGCAATAATAAATGATAAGGAATAAGCGAGAGTGGAAGAGCAAGAGAGAGAGAGAGAGAGCGATGGTGAGGGGGAGGGAGAGAGAGAGAGAGGGTGAGAGAGAGAGAGAGAGCCAGACAGAGGAAGAGGAGAATAGATAAAGTTTATAAGATAATTAACAAAACTTGTTTATATAAAACTCATAATAGAAGCAGAAAATCCTTTCGAGCCAAGCGGTACATGAATTCATGAGAATCGCATAGAAGGGCGATATTAGCAACAGCTTTTCCCTCGCCTGTGGCATGCCCTAACGCAAAAGGTAAAACATGCATGCAATTTTTGACAATGTACCATTAAGTAACTAGTTTTTGGTAGGGAGTGCCTGACTGGTAAATACCCTGCAACTGCCGTCACAACTTTTCGAGCTGCCTTTGAGAAATTTAGCCTAAGCTTTAAGAGGTTGAATTTTACTAACCTGCAACCTTTAGACCCTACCCACCCCCCCCCCCCCCCCCCCCCCCCCCCCCAGCCCCCAGCCCCCCAACCACGCTGCCATTTTCGCGCTGCCCAAAAGCCGCAGGAAAAGTTTGCCAATAACTGCAAATGCAATGCATTAAGCCAAACACACACACACACACACACACACACACACACACACACACACACACACACGGATATGCTGAAAGCTTTTGGTTGGCAAGCGAAAATCCACTTGGCCAACGGCACAACAAACAAACACACACACACACACACACACACACACACACATACGCATACCACCTACGCCCCCTTAGGGCGTGACCTGGTAACGCACCTGTCGCAAAACTGACATTAAATTCACATTACAAAATTGGTTGGCTGCATTCGGCGTATCAGTTTTTGAGCTAAATAATGCCCCAACTGCGCTCAGGGGGTGTGTGTGTGTGTGTGTGTGCGGGGGCGGGGGCGGTTTAGGGTGCGGGGCGTGGCAACAGCCAAAAGCCATCGATGCGCTCACCTGCCGAAAAGTTTGTTTTAATGGACAAAGTTGCCGACAACGCTCGACGGGATTGCGGCGGGCGCTGGCATGTTGCAATCTTTGCTAGCATGGGGGAGGGGGGGGGGGAGGGGGGTTGGGGTGGTGTAAGGGTGTGTGTTGCAAGGGCAACTTTTAAGCTGTGAGCGGCAGAGTCGCCAGAAGAGCCGCAAAGCAGCCGCAGCCACAGCCGCTGCCTTTAAACATGCAGTCAACACAAATTAAATTATAAGTCGAGGGTCTGCTCGGATCCGTCGATGGCAGTCCTTCGTCCTCGAACGTGGCATTAAGCATCTTGTTGCACGGCTGCATTTTACTCTACCTCTTCCACTCTCTCTCTCTCTCACTCGCACTCGCTTCCGCTCGCACACTTGCGTGTGATTTTCTTGCTCGTTAAATTTTGCTGCTCTGACGAGCGACAACGTGGCGTATGCGTAATCTGATATCGACAACTTCGCAAAACTTTTGCCAGCCTTCAAAAGCCACACACACGCACACACACACACACACACACACGCACTGGTGGTGTGAAAGATCTGCTTACGTACAGCTGCCAGCTGAAGCGGCCCTATTTTTAGTCGGTTGCATTCTTGAAAAAACATCATTAAAATATCAGTTTTCGTGTTTTGTTTTTTAATACCCTACACCATTTAAAGAGGGGCATATGCACAGCTCTAAGCACATAAAAAGCACGACAATCTGACTGATTGATTGACTGACCGACTGACTGATTGATGAGCAACGCACAGCCCGAACCAGAAGCGCTGGAAAGCTGAAATGTTCACCGTCTAGGTTTTTGGCTAATTCCACCCGCAAGTGTGGAAAAAGCGTGAAAAAGCGTTTGCATGAAACCTGATTGTGTATCCGATCGGCTTCGAACACATTCACATGTGAAGTTCCGCGCTCGACTTCATTTCTAAGAATCTTTATGACCATTCATTTTGGACGTCTTTCACGCTTAGCCCAAAATGCGCCTCTCGTGGTTCAAAAGTTTATTTGGTGAGGTTCTGAGTTTCGTCCGCTCGGACTCGAGCTTATTTTCAAAACACAACATGAAAACTTAATGTGCACAGAGTGGAAATTGGGCGAAAAATGTTGAACTTTCCTGTTTACCATGCGTTTGGCTTCAATCTCATGTTTGTCAGAATTAATGTGATACGTTTTTAGCAAAATCCACTGCGCTTGAATGGAAAATGCGGGTGCAATGTTAAGTGAGCAAAAGTTTACCTTGCGGCTTCACAAAACTAACATATATATATATCTAATACTCAAATATTTCTGTAAAATTTAACTTTAGAAGTAGAGTTCAAGATAGTACGGCTGGATTTAAGTTTTCCACGGACGGCAACTGGATGAAAGAGTTAGTTCTAGCATCAAACTTTCCACGGCCAAGGCCTGGAAGTATCCGCCATATAAATATGTTGGCATGTGTGTACGTGCGCATGGGAAGGTATTTGTGCATGTTTGTTTGTATGTATGCATGTTTGTTTATATGTATGTATGTATGTATGCATGTGTGTACATGTATGGATGTCTGTAGGTATGTATGTATGTATGTCTGTATGTATGTATGTATGTATGTATGTATGTATGTATGTATGTATGTATGTATGTATGTATGTATGTATGTATGTATGTATGTATGTATGTATGTATGTATGTGTATGTATGTATGTATGTATGTATGTATGTATGTATGTATGTATGTATGTATGTATGTATGTATGCATGTGTGTGTATATATGTATCTAAGTATGTATGTATGTAGGTATGTATTTGTTTATGTATGTATGTATTTATCTATGTATGTATGAATGTATGAATGTATATATGTAAGAATATATGTATGTATATATGTAAATATGTATGTATGTATGTAAGTATGTATGTATGTATGTATATATGTATGTATGTATGTATGTATGTATGTATGTAAGTATGTATGTATGTATGTGGGTATGTATGTATGTATGTAAGGATGTATATATGTATGTATGTACATATAAAAAAAAATATTCCCAATTAATGCCCTACTACGCGATTCTCATGAATTTAAGTAAGTCTCGTAGGGCTCACTGCAAGTAATATAGTAAGTCTCGTAGGGCTCACTGCAAGTAATATTGAAGGAGGCGGCTTCAGCTGAAGAGGAAATTGCGGCCTTATTATTGGAGGAGGCGGCTTCAGCAAAGCAGGAGGCGGCGGCTTAAGCAGGAGGCGGCGGCTTAAGCAGGAGGCGGCGGCTTAAGCAGGAGGAGGCGGCTTGATAACTCTTAACTAATATTGGAGGATGCGGCTTCACCTAAAGAGGAAGCTGCGGCCTTATTATGGGAGGAGGTGACTTCAACTATGGAGGAGGCGGCAGCTTGAGCAGAGGAGGAGGCGACGGCTTCAACTATGGAGGTGACGGCGGATTAGGCAAAGGAGGAGGCGGCTTGATAATTCTTAACTAATATTGGAGGAGGCGGCTTCAGCTAAAGAGGAAACTGCGGCCCTAATAATGGGGAAGTCGGCGCTTTTAATATGCGAGGAGGCGGCAGTTTTTATATTGGAGGAGATGGCAGTAGGCGACAGCTTAAGCAAAGGAGGAGGCGACATCAATTCCAATTAATTAATTTGGCAATTAAGAAAACTGGTACGTATTATAAATATAAACTAAGTCTTATTAAATGTAACAATTATTACAAACGCATATATGCATGTTTGCTTCTTTGTACTTGAATGCATACATGTATGCATGTGTGAATGTTGAGCTGAGCTATTCACAAATATTGCTCTTCTACGTGATTCTCACTAGTTCAAGTAAGGTTTAGCAAGCAAGCTGCGTTTGGAAGCTAATAAACATTATCTTTGTTTTTTTTTCAGTTCTTTCAATGATGTGTTACTATAATAACTGCTCTTCTTCTGATAGATGACGCTCAAACAATCGTGCGGGGCGATTTTCAGGTGAGTACATCATTGCAAATATACATTTATGGAAATACGAATAGATATGCAATACATATGCATATGTACTTTAAGCTGAAAGCTTAACGTAAGCTTTCCTTACCTACCTAAAACTCTTCTTTTCCAAATATTAAAGCTTACTTCAAACTTAAAGCTTAATTTGAGTTGCCTTTTACATTGTTAGTCTCCTTCTTAACAAGCACTTAATTTTGCTTGTTTATCTTTTTTTTT